TCCTCCTACTGTGTCCCTATCTTTCTTAGGGTAAGGTTGCCCTGTAGGGCCCAAGTACAAAGTTAGGCATCATGTTCAGTTTCGTATCTGTAACTTAATTGCACATTGTGCTCTTTGGTTCAATTGTTCTAGTACACATACACACACACATACACACACAAACACACACTCACACGTACGTGTATATGTATATATGAACTACTTCTGGGTCTTTGAAAAAATTAAAACAAGGTCAGGTATGATCACAAGTTCAAGGTAAGCCTGGGATATATAACAAGACCCTGTCTTAAAAAGGAAAACAATAAAAAATAAAAGCAAAACAATAGAGCCAGATATGATAGCCTGACCCTGTAATCCTAGGACCTTGGAGACTGAAACAGGAAGATTGCCATTGCCGTGAACTCGAGGCTAGCTTGCGCTATATAGTATGTTCCAGTTCTCCTTTTGTGTGCTAGTGTGATGATTGGACTTTCATACTTTGGAAAGCTACCCATTTTACATGGAAGAAGGAAATCTCCCCTAGACTTAATTGATTTAGATGTCCAGAGGTACTGATCAGTGTTCCTGAACTCTTGGTAATCCTGGTCTGTTCTTGGGTTTAGGAAGTGTAGACTTTGTGGCTATCGATCTTATATGTGCCCCCATATCCTTCCTTTCTATCCTGGCTGCACTGTTGGGGTTCAAGCCCACCTCGTCCCTGACTTGGACTATTGTAGCCTCTTCTGTCTCTCAGCCTTCAGTGGCTCCATCTCCAACTCCTACTCCATGTTGGTTTTATCCCAACTTAAAGGCACACTTTAACGGTAGAGTCTAACCTCCTTCCTGTGACAGTTAAGCCCTCTCTTCACAGTTGTTCAAACCCTCTAGCCTCACCCCCCACCCCATGTACCCTGTGCTCCTAGAATGCTGTACACACTCCACACTGCCAATGGATATGCTGTTCCTCTGCCCTCCCCAACCCACCCCCACTTCTTCTGGGTGCTCATTCTGTAAGCCCCGCTTCAGTGCTGCCCACTCGGTGAAGCGCCCACCCTACCCTCACTTTCTCAGTTTGAATGAATTCTTCTTTATTCTGTGGTCTTGGTTCTTCATGCACATCTGTATCACACCTATTACATTCTGCTTTGTTTTATATTCACTGTGTCTTATGAGTCACATAGCAATAGGATGAGTCTTAGACCTTTAAATCTAATGTGACCCTCTGCTGTCCTTCACACTCAGTAAATCTTTATTGAGGTGCTAGTGTTCTAAAATATTAAGGTGTCTAGGATAAGCTGATAATGTCAGCTCTTGCCTTTCTTTCATTACAGTGTGTATTCAGGTCACCAGTCCATCTTGATTCCTCCTGTGGAGTTGGAAAACAACCTTTTTCTCTGGCTTGCCACTGTCAACCAGTATAAAATAAGAGATACCTTCTGCTCCTATTCAGTGATGGAGCTTTGCACTAAAGGGCTGGGAAACCAAGTGGAGGTGCTAAAGGTGAGAAGCAGCCACAGCAAGTAATCAGTCCTAAGAGGGGTTTCAAAATTGGCCAGGGCTTGATAAAACCAGAGCACGGGTGGCAGACAAACTTGCCTGCCTTTGGCCTTCTTTCTAGCCAGATGACTAAGTGGATATTTTGTAACCTCAGAGAGTTTATTTTGTCCCTTTTCCTTAGTGCATTCTTCCAGAGACCAATCTTATTCTTCATGGAGAGGGAGGGAATCAGGTTGGAAGGCTAAACAGAAATGACTACATAAAATAGTATAGGAAACTCACTGTTTTCCCAGTAAAATGCAAACCTCAGAATAATGGAGATCACTCTCATCTCCCCAAAGATAAGAGTAACTCATTTCTGTATGTATCCAGTGACCGTGTCTGAGAAACCTGGAAAATATTGACCCTAAGAGTAAAAACAAGACAAGAGCTTAGCTACTCAGGGTTCTGGATTTGTTCTGTTGTGTTTTGTTACTAGTTCTAGCAAATAAGGAGAAATCTGAGGGAAAAAATGGGGAAGGGGGAAACATTGCTGAAAAGAAAAGCCTAGGAATTTTTGGTTTTTTGGTTTTGTTATCTCTTTTTTTTTTGATGTTGGGGATAAAACTCAGGGCCCTTGTAGACATGATCATTGTAATGTGATATCTTGACATTTCCTTTTCTGAAAACTACTTTTCTCTCTGTCTGGGATGAGAAAATTGCTCTTGTATTTTTCTGAACAAGGAGGGAGCAGTGACCCTGCCTGTGTAGTTCTTTCCTGACCCTACTAAATAAGCTCCTGGCACTTAATGTCTTCCAGACTAGAGGGATCAACCTCTCCTGCATCCGGACCTGTGTGGTAGTAGCAGAGGAACGACCCCGCATCGCCCTGCAGCAGTCCTTCTCCAAGCTCTTTAGACATTGGTCTGTCTCCTCGGGCTGTCAGCACCACTTTCGGATCAAGAGTCAATGTAGCAATATGTTTACAGGTAAGCTCATGAAATCTTTTTGTTATTGTTGGTTGGTTCTTTAAGATAGAGTCTTACTATAAAGTCCCTAGCTTTGAACTCATGAAGATCCTCCTGCCTTAGTCTTCTGAGGCCTGAGAATTACAGGTGTGAGCCCTTACAATGAACGTAGGGGTCTCTGTAGCAGGGGCTTCAAGACTACACTGCCCTGCTTGAGCCCTGCTCTGCTTGTTTCCTATAGGATCGTAGGCTTTTATTAGGCCTGCTCTTTGTCTTATTTTGCTCATGTATAAAATGAAAAGTTTTGTACGTCACAGGGTGGTTTTGCAGAATCACCAGGTTACTAGGTAAGAGCATTTAAGAGTGGCTCCAGTGTAAATGCTTCCTTCTAGTGGAATGTGCTATATGAGGACAAACCATAAAACTTCCTAAGTCCTATTTGCATTCCTTTTTTTTGTCTTTTTGAGACGGGGTCTCTCCATTGCCCCAGCTGTCCAGGAATTCGCTATGTTGACCAGGCTGGCCTCCAACTCAGAGATCTGCCTGCCTTTGCCTCCTGAGTGCTGGGACTAAAGGCATGTGTCATCATGCCTGGCCTCCATTTTGTATTTTTAATTAGTATGCAGCTTCTTGTTTTTCTACCTGCTCCATATCTTACTTTTTAAAAAATAAGACTGTATGTCTTTTTTTTTTTTTTACTATGTTGTTCTTGGTGGGTAAATAACAGAAAAGGACTAGGACAGATCGGTTTTGTGCAGTTTGGAGGTTTACAAGACAAGTGATTACACGGGTCCAGTTGGTTTTGAAAATCCCTGGGATGGTGGCTTATCTCAGCTCTGTTCTGAACCCAGGGAGTTTGGGAAACTGTCCTGGCTTGGTGGTGTTTTAGTGCTATAGGAAAAACCCAGCAAGCAGTTTTCAAGTTGTTTGCTCTGCCTTATGTCGGATTTTTTTGTGCAGTTTGGAGGTTTACGAGACAAGTGATTGCATGGGTCCAGTTGGTTTTGAAAATCCTTGGGATGGTGGCTTATCTCAGCTCTGTTCTGAACCCAGGGAGTTTGGGAAACTGTCCTGGCTTGGTGGTGTTTTAGTGCTATAGGAAAAACCCAGCAAGCAGTTTTCAAGTTGTTTGCTCTGCCTTATCTCACTTGGTGGAAGAGAAAGTGAGCTTTCAGACCGTTGATGTTTCATATGTGTGGCAAAATTATCAACTTCATGTGAAATGTGAAGAACTGAAAGACTACATTTAAATTTTAAATAAAGTGGGGCGGGAGAGATGGCTCAATGGTTAAGATGGCTCAGCTGTTCTTGCAGAAGACCCAGGTTCGAATCCCAGCACCCACATGGCAGCTAACAACCGTCCATAACTCCAGTTCCAGGGGATCCGAGACCCTCTTCTGTCCCGTGGGCATTGTATGACATGGGTCTACTTACATACATGCAGGCATAACACTCAT